ACAATTACTGCCCGTTCAGGCCCCCTACTCCAGCCACAATTCATATGTTATGAGTGGCCCTGGAGTCGCTAGCAGTGGCCCAACCACAAAGTATAATCCTGTCTCGGGCCGTGAGGTGGTCCAGCTCCTTACCTTCTCTCTGACATTCTTTGCCGTGAGCCTGTTGACAGGATTGTGAAAGGAATGCCCTCAGTGTGATTGAATTCAAAACACGAACCATGACTTATCATGTGAAAATGGGCAGCATGATACTGAAACATTCATCAAAAAAGTCCAACAACTGTGGATGCAGTTTCAGTGGAATGATTGGAATAAAAACTGTTTGTGAAGCTCAATTGAGTAAGTCAGCAAAATGCACAAAAGTGGAAGTATAAGGTTTTACACAGATCCCTCATTTTACGCAATATTTCCAATCAAAACTCTTTGGGTTCTTGAAGACTATTGGAGCTGTGTTTCAGCTTCTGATTAGTAATGAAGGAAGAATTATAGATAGCTGAGTTTTTGCACAGCACACTGCTCATAAGTAATCTAGGAAGTGTGCCAATTTAGGGAATAGGGGAAGAACGTTTTGCCTGATCAGTCTGACCTTGTTCCCACATTACATTCACCAACAAGTGCTGTTCTTTCTTCCAGTGCAGAGTAAATATTTTACTTCTTTGCTCAACAGCCCATTTTTATTTGGCTGAGAAATGGTTTTCAAAGATGTTTTGTTCTTGCAGAAATCAACATGAAACTTCAAGCTCAGTTTGCCTCAAATCCTACAGCTAGTGGGAATATCCACTGAACCTGATGCAGTAAGATAGCTGTGCACTTGATAACTTAATCATTCCACTGCAAAGTCAATCCAGTCTCACTGTAGGTGAAAAAAAATTTTCAGGTAAAGGGCTCTGATCAACTCAAACACCATTGTTCCTGTTTGCATTCCTGATGCAGTTGAGGAGCCTGTTTGACAATTCCTCCCATCTGACGATACTCATTAATTGCGTAAATGAAAAGAAATAAGCCAAATCAGAATGCTTCAGCATTGAAACCCTATTTGTCTCCTTCCACTGTGCACTGTCAATGCTCTTTCGTCCTTTGATAATACTTGGAACAGTTCTAAAAGACTCAATTGGTACTAACCCTTGCTGACAACCTTCTTTAATCTTCCTCAGGCTCTGGTGATAACATGGTCATTCTTCTCCTTGCTTTGTTTTAGAAAATTAGTCAAAGGAAACTCTTACAAAGGATGGGAATTGACCATCCTGGTCCTCTCTTTCTATCACACAGACACACACACACGAAAATTAAGACTTACGTTGGTATTATAGACAGAAGAGGAAGAGACGATCAAGTTGCTTTAGAAGAAGAAGACACATCAGAAGTCAACTTTGAAGACAGCAAAGTCGAGAGGAAAATTTTCAACAAAGGAAGTGTGTGCAGTTTTGGTCTCCTTATTTTAGGAAAGACAGCATTGCCATTAAGGAAGTGCAACAAAAGTTCACCCGACTTGTTCCCAGGATGGCAGGTCTTATGAAGAGAGACTGGGCAAACTGGGCCTGTATTCTCTATGGTTTCGAAGAATGAGAGATGGTCTCATTGAAACCTATAAAATACTTAAAGTGGTAGGGTAGATCGAGGTAAGATGTTTTCCATACTGGGGAGTCTAGAATCAGGGCACAATTTAAAAATATTCGGCATACTACTTAAGTCAGAGATGAGGAAATGGCTTTACTCAGAGGGTTTGAACCTTCTTTACCACAGTGGGCTGTGGAGGCTCAGACTTAGGTATGTTTAAGGCAGAAAATGATAAGATTTCTGATTACCAGTGCAACACAGGGTTATGGAGATGGGGTGATTAAAAGGTATTGAAGTGTTTGATCATGTTAGATGGCAGGGCAGGCTCCAAGGGCTGAATGGCTCACTCCTGTCCCTATGAATCATGCTGTAGCTAAGAGTGATCCCTACACTACTGAGTGATTCTGTTAATGCACAATTCGATACTCCCAAGCTCTACATAAAGTTTAATATTTTTTCTGAATAAAATGAGCCAAGTGAGCATTGAGAATTACATATAAACTGATCTATTTCATTAAACAGGAGATTTGAGCAAAATTTGAAGACACTGGGGCTCATAAAACCAATGTATTGCCTCTTGTCCCTCCTTAACCTCCTCCTTGAGCTATTGAAGATCTTAAGTTACCAACCATTTGAGGGCCTCATTCTGCCTTGTGACTATTTTACCCACTGTAAGGGCAGGTTTTGGGTTGGGGTTGAGTCAGGAGCACCTACTTTTCATGGCCATTATGTCAATTAGAGGCATTCCAAACACACACCTTCCCATCCTCTTTGTTGCAACCCTCTCCCATGAAGATCCAATTTCCCCCTCACCTCTCCACTGGCCTCCATCACCAAGCCTGCATATGCTGCCACTTCCCAACCCCAGTTACAACTGTCAGCCACAACCTGGTAAAATCTCTCCCCCTCCCTACTCTTACTCGCCATAGTATCTGTCTCTAGTAACAATTTAATTGATTTATCAAAAGTTTGTCAGAAATTTTTGAGGACATCACTAGTTGGACGATACAGGAGAACCAGTACATGTAATATATTTGGATTTTCAAAATGCAGCTTTAACTAGTCACATGAATCAAGGCTTTGTCTATTCACAATCTAAATTAATAAATTAGACAAACAACTTGAGAATAATGCACCCAGGTTTGCTGATGATACAAAGCTAGGCAGAAATATAAGTTGTGAGGAAGATATAAAGGCTGCAACAAGATACAGACAGGTTAGGTTAGTGCGCAACAAGTTGCCAGATGAAGTATTGTTTGAGCAAGTGTAAGTTTGTTTACATTGTTCTTTTTTTCTATTTCTTATTACAGATGATTATTAAAAGATCTAAAACTTATTAGTGGTCATTCAAAGAGATTTGGCAGTTTTCATATGAGGAACAATAAGTTGTATCCAAGTTCAATAAGCATTTAGGAAGGCAAGCAGCATGCTGACTTTCAGTGGAACAGACCTGGGGCACAAAAATAAAAAAATCTTGCAACAATTCCTGAGCACTTTGCTTAGTCCACACCTCCAGCAGTGTACAGTTTTGATCTTCATTTCTATGGGAGAGATATACTTGCATTGAAGATGGTACAGCAAAGGCTCACTCAATCAGTTCCTGTTCTTTAACAAGAGGTTGAGTAAATTGGAACTATACACTCCAGAATTTAGAAAAGAGGTGATCTCATCGCAAGATAAAAGATTCTAAAGCAGCTTGCCAAGCAAATCACTGACAGATTGCTTTCCTTGGCTGGTCTAGAAGCAGCCAAAAGTCTCAGGATTGGGTATAGATAATTTAGGACTTAGGAGAGGAGAGATTTTTAAAAGCTTTCCAATCCCCTGGCTTTTCACTAGTCTTCACCACATTGTATGCTTTTTCTCCTTTGCTTATATGCTGTCCCTGACTTCCCTTATCAGCCATGGTTGCCTCATCTAACCCTTAGAATGCTTCTTCTTCCTTGGGATGAATTTCTGCTGTGCCTCCTGCATTACTCCAGAAACTTCTGCTATTGATGCTCCATTGTCTTCCCTGCTAGCTGTGCTTCCGTATAATTCTGGCCAGCTCCTCCCTCATGTCTTTGTAGTTTACTTTACTCAATTGTACTGCCATTATATCTGATTCCAGCTTCTCCCTCTCAAGCTGCAGAGTGAGTTCTATCATATCATGGTCACTGCTCTCTAGAGGGAGTCCATTAGCTTAAGCTCTGTAATCAAGTCTGCATCATTACATATCACCAAGTCCAGAATTGCTTGTTCCCTAGTGGTCTTTACCGCAGGCTGTTCCAAAAAAAAATCTACTTAATGCATATGCTGCCTCCAAATTCCCCGCAACATATATTCACTCAGGCTGTGTCTCACTCTGATCCTCCTTCCTGACCATGCAAAACTTCTGTTCTTGATTAATTGGTGCCTATTCAAATGTAGATTAATTCTGTCCCTCAGTTTTACTTTAAATAGATTAAATAGATTTAAATATAACCTGAGTCCATGTGACAATAAACCTAAACCCAATACTAATTCTACAAAATGGATTCAGGGGCACTGCATGAAGAGGGTGCAAAATAAGAAGGATGTTGTATAAACTTGTATTTGACAAAAAAATTACTTTTTTTTTCTGTTGAAAAGTGAAAGCTGAGTATCTCATTTGGTCCTTACAAAAGATTTAATAGCATAGTGCTTCCACTTATGGGAAAAAAACAAACCAACAGCGGACGTGAGTGCAAGATATGCACTAAAAAAACCCAAAAATCCCAACACAAAATTCAGAAGGAACGTCTTTCCCCAGAATGGAGTGTGAATATGGAACCTGCTAGCACAGTGTTTCTGGAAAATAGTGCAGACACACACCAGAGAAGGCTAGATAAGTACATGAGGGAGATGGGAATATGTTTGAGATGAGGAAGAATTGAGTAGCGTAGAAATGATGACATAGCCCAGTTGGGCCTAATCACCTGGTGTACATTGCATCATAAAATCTCTACAGTGTGGAAACAGGCCATTCAGCCCAACAAGTCCACACCAACTCTCTGAAGAGCATCCCACCCAGACTCACTCCCCCAGCTCCCCTAAACTATCCCTGTATTTCCCATGGCTAATCCACTTAACATTCACATCCCTGGACACCATGGGGCAATTTAGCATGGCCAATCCACTGAACCTGCACATCTTTGGACTGTGGGATGAAAGCAAAGCACCCAGAGGGAACCTACGCAGACACAGGGAGAACATGCAAAATCCACACAGACAGTCACCCGAAGCTGGAATCGAACGCGGGTCCCTGGCGCTATGAGGCAGCCATGCTAACCACTGAGCCAGTGTGCCAAATTGTTTGTAAATCTGCGCCCTCTAAATTGCTGACTAGCAGGTACCTACATATGCACTACCATGGTGTCAGTCAACCTGGAGCTGATGTTTGCATTTTGTCAGACGCAATACGTAACCTAGAAGAATTCTTCACTGACCTTTGCTACTCTGTTGGCAACTTCCCTGCCAACGGTCAGACCTTGCACAAAGGCCCGAGCTGCAACAAAAGCCCTTGTAACTTGTATCTTCAGCTTGCGAGGCACGTCTCCAAATGGTTGGAGCTGGTCAGTGTATTTGCTGATGCATTCAAGGTAATCCTCAGTGAACTGGTACTGGGGGTTTACCAGCTGGAACATGCGTTCCAGTAGACGGGCCCAGAAATCGTTAAGCATCTCTTCCAGGTTCACATTGCCACCTGTGTAGTAGCGTTTCAGCTCTGCGAAGAGATCCTGGAACACTTCCGAGTTTTGCATGTACAATTGGCCATACGTCCGGATAAACATGTCGTTTAGTGACTTCTCAGAATTTTCCAACAGTTCTCTGAAGAATTCTGCAAGAATTTAAAAAAAGTACAGATTTTAGGGAAGATGAAATGAAAAGATTCACCAGTCAGTCCAAATCAAAGACCAACATGGAGCAATTAAAACCGTACATACACATAAGATACTACTAGAGAAATCGATTGAATAAATGCATGAGTGTAACTCAGGGGCACCAGTCAGAAAATATTAGCCCACTTAAAATCATATTCAGTGCTTACAGTGTTTACTTATACAATGTACCTGCTTCACTTGTGTATGGTAACATTTAAGCATTAAAAAAATCATTGTAGGTATCATTTTATGTGGGACTTTATTGTCATATGGTATGAAGTATGATGTAATTACAATGTCGAATGCTTCTCAAAATGCTGCTGGTGCTATCAGAATTCATTTGTTGAAGACACAAAAGGAATGCAGTGTGCGCTGGTGATCAGGACATTGGCCTGGATTTTTTGGTTGCTGGCTTTCCAGCTGCTTAACCTGAAGAGTCAGTGATGAACTAAATTCTGTCAATACTGGCACTCACTTGGCAGAAGTCACAGTGCTATACACAGGACTGGGACTTCAAGTAGTCACTGGAGTCTAAGGCCAGATAGGTGTGAGGTCTCAGAGCAGAGAATAGGGCTTCAGGAGGGGTTGAACATCGGGGCAGATGGGTTATGTAGGGGCATTGGCAGAGATCCAGGGGAGAGGTAGCACAAGCAGGTGGGCAGACATTCTCAAAATATGCTCAATGTTGAAAGGAGGCCACTGAGGGAGTCCAACCCCATCCTCCATGAAGCCTGAGCAGCGTCACTTTCTTAAAGCCCCACATCTCTTTTCTCTTTCCTCCAGCCTGAATATTAAAAGTCAGATTGGAAACAGCCCTACAATGGTTATTAATCAGCCACTAAATTGGTGAAAGATTGGGTAGGCCTGCTGTCTGACCTGTACCCCACAAAAAATTGTGGAGAGTTTAGGATAAGTCAGAGGCCAATGGCTCACCCGAGGAATTTGATGAGCCTCCCATAAACCTGCAAGCTCACAAGTGTGGGAAGATGAAATTCTGCCCGAGATCTCATAGTTTGGTCTGGAATAATTACTTGAGGGCATACAACAAGAGGGTGCAAACAGACTCAGACGTAAGAAAGATACTATACCACAAAGTTTTAAATAAGAGCATAGAAAGTCCACAATGAGATTTCACAGATTGTAGATCTTGTTAAACAATACAATAAAATGGTTAGCCTGATTCTGATCATTTGCTCTTGAAAATACAATTAGTGCCAGATTATTGCGACAGATCTTAGAATGATCTCTCATCCATAATTGTGGCCATCTCAGATAGTTGTTTCTTGGTGTGTCATTATCAAGGTCATATTCTGTTCCTTCTTCCCACAATGTTTGCTGTACTTCCTCTGGATAAAACCAACACAAGGTAAAGGAGCCATTGAATACAATTTGCTTCTGAGAATGGGCTTTTAGAAATTCGGCAACAAGGCCAGCAATTTCTCCAGAAACATCTTTTACAAGGCAATGTGTAGCCTTCTGTGCCAAATCTTGATTTGGTTGGTTATTGTAATTATTTGTTCAATCTCTAAATGCTGGAATTTTTCCTTGTTTGAGGTCTTATGCACTTCCAATCCGATATCACATTTTAGATGCTCATTTAATTTCCCCTTTTTTCAGTAAGATAGTGACATCATGGTAATTTCACTGGACCGCAATTCCAGGGGCCTCAGACTGATGTGTGGGAACAAGAGTCCGAAAATAACCTGGAATTTCAACTGAATTAACAAATCTGGATTTAAAGGTAGGATCAGTCATGGTGATGATGAAATTGATTGCATTGATACCTAGGGGAGAAAATCTCTTATCCAGACCTGATCTGACTTCATAGATGTGACTTTAGGATCATAGTAACATGATTGACTCTTAACCGCCTTCTCAAATGGCACGGCAAGTCACTCAGTTCCAGGGCAATTAGAAATGTGCAACAATTGCTGGCCTTACCAGTGATACCCACATCCCACGAAAGAACAAATATAAAAATATGTAGAACTTCATAGATGTTTCTAATCATCACATCTGCCCTGATCTCACTGAAAGATAACAAGGTTGGATGGATTCCCATTTCCTACCTGTTGCAACAAAACCAATTCAGAAATAGCCGCCCATCAGCGCTGTCAGAAAGTATTGACACCCATGAGAAAAGACAGTTTTATTTCAAGGTTATGAGTGGTAAAGTAGAACAACTTTTCAATCTAGATGGGTAGACAGTTCCTAGTTTGGAAATCAGACAGTATTTTCTCATTGCTGACTGAAAAACTTTTCAAAGTCCCTTGCGTACAACAGAGCAATTCAATTATGGGTGAAGGTGTCATCATTGTAATGTTTTCTTTATCTCACTGTGTACAGAATAAGCAAGATTGGCAAAGATTGATTTTAAATGTTTTATGTCAGCGGAAAATGACTGGAGTAGGGACAAAGGGAATACATGTAACAGTGCAATCATTTACGAGACTGATACAGTATTTGCCAAGGGAGTGCTTTTCCATAAATACTTTTCGTTCCATTGAATTATCATGAGACTAAAACATTAAATTGCACCAACTCCATCAAATGCCAAAGGTCATTACAGGAATTTCAGTTCCACCGTAACAAAGCCAGAGTTTAGTTCTGAACATTACTGCACTCTTATAATCCAGGTTGTTTAGCCATAACTATCTGATTGTCATTTAATTGAAATGAAAGGGATGAATTTCAGTAGGTTTTAAAATAGCTATATAAAAACCAAAAGAACTGCGGATGCTGTAAATCAGGAACAAAAACAAAGTTGCTGGAAAAGCTCAGCAGGTCTGGCAGCATCTGTGAAGGAAAAAACAGAGTTAAAGTTTCGGGTCCAGTGACCCTTCCTCAGAACTGATGGTGGCTGGGAAAACGTCAGTTTTATGGCCTTCATTCCACTCCATCTCAACTGGCATTTTCCCAGCCACCATTAGTTCTGAGGAAGGGTCACTGGACCCGAAACGTTAACTCTGTTTTTTCCTTCTACAATAGCTATGTCATTCACTGTCAGATTGCACTCATTATGTCCCCCGAAAACATTAATTTGCAGACCACCATTAAATCTGACTAGAACCACAGGAGTCTTAACAGGAGAGATGGCCTTTGCTGAGGCAGCCAGGAGAACACCACATTGGGAGGGGAATTGAAAGTGTTTCACACGGCACTTTGAGATGACCCTGCCTGGCTGTGACAGCAGCTTACTGGCCAGCATCCCCGCTTTGGGCCATGGACCCTGCAGCTCTTATGGACTCTGAAGGCTGTTGCAGGGAAGTCCCCTCCAGGAGATGACACCACTCAGACCACCAACCCCACCTGGATGCTCGACCCAACAGAAGCCTTTAATATCCAAAATATTGTTTATCTCTATGTAGTAGGCAGCTGATTCAGTTCCAGGCTTACAACTGGGAATCATTCCACTAATGGAACCAATGAAACAATGGAGCTAACATCCCACACATCGCAACTTTACTTCCTGGCCTTCATTCCACTCCTCAGAAACCTGTAAAATCAAGCCTGAGAATTCTAATTTGAACACATTAGCTCGGCCAATTGAATCAGCCTGCACTGAAAAGCTGTATGACAAATAAGACTATGAAACTGCAAGATTACAATTAAATTGAATTACAGTGATACTTGAGGGAAAGAAATCTGGTAACCTTATTCATTCTGGTCAATATCTTGTTCGAGTCTCATTGCAAGCTGGTTGACTCTAAACCACCTGTATCATAGGGTGCAAATCTACTACTAGGTTCTTACAAGGTGGCAGTTGGGACATGACAAATGAGATAACAAGGTGTAGAGCTGGATGAACACAGCAGGCCAAGCAGCATCAGAGGAGCAGGAAGGCTGACGTTTTGGGACTAGACCCTTCTTCAGAAA